GCATAGAGACATTTATATACTCGTTTTTTATAGTAAAAAAGTACATGGAGGCAGAATTCAGTGGTGGGCAGTCTGATCAAAGAGATTGTATCACAAATCATGAAGCTCTACTTCAGCCTACTCATGCTTCATGTGGAAATCCCAAGATTGATGGTGTTTTAACCCTAACCCTAATAAAATATATTATGTTTTACGTGTATTAATTTCACTTAATGTAACTGCAGCCAGTTTGATTTATAACATCTATCAGTGTCCCCGAGTTTACTATGGTGTACTTAGCTTCAGTTGTTAACTTGCCATACCTGGGAAAAACGAACCTCAAATGAGGAGTTGCTTCTCTCAGATTGGCATGCTTGCTAACTGTTGCAGGAGGGCCCAGCCCACTGTGGGTGGCTCCGTACCTATGCAAGAGGGACAGGCTGTATAACAAACATAGCTGAACCTAAGCCTGGAGCCAAGCCTGTCACCAGTGTCCCTCCATGGCTTTTGCTTCAGTTCCTCCTTCAAGCTTAGTCACTGATTTTCCTTAGCAATGAATTATTACCTAGAAGTATAAGATGAAATAAACCTTTCCTCCCCAAGTTTCTTTTGATCACAGTGTTTAATCACAGCAGCAGAAACCTAACCAGAATACCCTAGATTGGTTTTACTGCAGTACCCTGGGAAGCCAAAAGAAGATGAAGTCATGCAAGTCATACGTGAGGCTTCACTACAGGAATGTGCTGTCTTTTCAGTATTACCTACAACAGATAAAGTCACTGTTGTTTCAGCCCATGAATTCACCCCTCTTCCTAACCCAAATTACATGAATCTCAGTGATCTTGCTGCTGTCTGGCTGCATGCCTCTGTCAGTAAGTCGCCCAACAAACTGTATTCTGTGCAATCCTAGACCTATGTATCTTCTTCAGTGGTCCCATGGCACCTGGGGCCGGGTGGAAGAAGGGACAGGCATTCTTATACATGAGAGAGACTGAATTGTTCTGTAACATATAATAGATGTAGCTATTTGGTACATACTGTTCAACAGTTTTGACAAATATGTAGACTCAGACACTCTCCAAAGTAATCAAGATGAAGAATATTCTCTCTACTCTCTTCTGCCCTTTCAAGAAATAATACAGAATAAGACTTGAAAGTTTTTTTTCCTGCCTAGTGATCATTGTACTAAAGCCAATCTTGTCTTTTAACAATCTAACCACTTCACCATTCTTATGATTCTCATTTGCATGATAAAATCTTTACTTCTTTACTTGTGTGAGAGCCAGAGTTATGTTTTAAGTTTTAATTACTGTGCCCAAGAGATCCATAAAACAAAGATGCCTCTGATCTGTATGTCCCTTACCCAAGGACAGATAGTTCCTGAAATGCTGGAGGCTGTTGTTCATGGGAGACAACAAGCCATATGTTTTCAGTCCCCTAAACAAGTTTGTTTGGCCCATCTGCACCTGATCACATGTGGGCAGGAGGTACGTGAGCAGGAAATACATCAGGGTGTACCCTTGCCCCTGATTGGATGTAAGTGAGAATTATGCTAGCAGGAAGTATGTTAGGATGAATGCTTGCCCCTGTCTGGACCTCCTGGGAAATGCAGTTAAAAAAATTTTACCTTTTTTAAACCCCTGCAAATGATGACTTGGGGCCATTTTCTAGGAACCTGGGTATGGACTTGTCCAGAGCTCATCCACCTGGCCAGTATTTAATTAAATCGTGCTTCAAACTTGACTTTAAACAGTGATCGCGATCTTATTCTTGACTGGAGTGATTAACACTTGTATGATGTGTGACATCATACTTAAAGTAAATTTCTTATGGGCATTGTGTGTGTGTGTGTGTGTGTGTGTGTGCGTGTGCGTGTGCGTGTGCGTGTGTGTAAGAATGTGTGTGTTGCTGGGAATTTAAGGCTTGGTGCGTTCTAGGCAAGTGCTGTACCACTGAGCTGTTTCCCAGTCTTCAGTGGTGTCAGGCTGGATCTCAGTATGTAGTTCAGGCTGATCTCAAACTCTTTATCCTGCTGCCCGTCTCTCCCAAGTGCTGAGATTATAAACATCTGTCACTATGTCTAGCTGACAATGATGCTGACCTGTGACTCTGTTTTCCATTTGCCCCATCCATCTGTTCTTCCCTTTGTCCCTTCACCTTTTTCTAATTAGCTGACTTTCCTTCCTGTTTTGTGTTATAGTCATTCTTGACTTGTTTAGCTGTCTTTCCTTTCATTTTGATTCTGGAAAAATAAGATTAGAGACTATTTCATATTTATCATCCAATTGATTACTTGCACATCGTGTTTTTTATGAGTGATTCTTTTAGCAAAGAGTAAATGTCCTCTTTTTGTAACAGACTATTGACCCTTTTCCATTTATGGGATTTCCAGGCTAAAGTCAGGTTCATTTACCTGAAAAGCTCAAACATTGATGCCCAGCTCTGCCTCCCTCCCCCAACTCTGTCTTTGAAAACATGAAAGACATTTGTATACCCAAGTGTTATTTCAGTAGAATTGTTTTTTATTTGCCTTGAATTAGAACCATGAAAGCATCTAGTGATTGCTTCATGAGGGTTAGGTAATGTTTTCCTACAAGTAAACTGTTAACATACACAAAGGTCAAAGATCTCTCCTCTTGTCAATTCAGGTTTCCATGAAATTAAACCTGAAAACTGGCAAAATAATGTAGACATACCAAACAATTATAGGACATTAAAGAAGAACCAAAGAGATGATCCAGGGGAACACTGTCATTTCCAAATAATGAATGACAAGTGAACCTGGTTAAATAATTTATCTAAGGATATATTCTGTGCTTTGAACATGACCAGTAAACTTAGTCGTAGAGAAAAATCTTTTCATAATAGGATTCTAATATAGGGCATTCAGAGATCAGTATATTAATCTAAATACTGGATTTAACAGATTTAAGATTTACAATACAAATCTCTGGTTGCAGAGCTTTGTTCAATATTGTGTCTGCTGTGTTCATTTTTTACAACCCTTAAAGAGCATAATCAGGCCAAGAACACAAACCGATGTAGACATGAGGATGTTACTGAAAGAAATATCAAACTTTTGAATAAATGGTTTGAAATCTCCTTGTGGCTAAACTGGAGACTAAGTATAATAATGACATGATATTCTCAGAAATGTATAAATTTTAATTCAATTGTAACCTATTGAATTTTTGACAAGAAACTATTCAAAGGAAATCTTGAAGTGAGACATTGCCAGTTGTTTATGATTTGTCCCCTCTTTGAAAAGATCTGCACGTTTGGCTTTGGTGCTGGAGGTCTCAACAGCAACAAGCAGCCTCAAACAGTCTTTTTCCAGCTGGACTGAGTTCTGCAGGGACACGGAATCTTTTAGCTTCAGAAGGTGTTCATGTAGCTGTACCTTTCTTTTGAGATTAAAAATCATTGACTTAATATATTTGTCATTGTTCACAAGTCTGGAGTTAAGCCCTAGATGTGGGAAACATGACTTGATGGCAACTTTGAGCATATTTCAGGGGCAGACTCAATCAACGACCTGTCTTTCAATAAAACTTCACTAAACCTACAAGAGATATAATTTCAGGGGAAAATGTGCACTGTCCAGTGGAGCTTGTTTCTGCAGGTAAGTCACATGTGTTAAATGTTATATGAAAAGTGTCAATTAAAGGGTTTCCAAAGAAATGCTTTGCTTTCTACTCTAACAAAGAAATATCAAAATCTTATTGGTAAAGAAGATGGCAAAACCACTAGTTATTATTAAAATTTAAGCATCACTTTCTCTGGTCCGATACTTCCCTTATTTTTAATATATACTAATTTGAATTATATTTGATTCACATTATTGCTAGGGTTAGAAAATTTGAGGTCTCTTTCTTATCTGTTATCACAAATGGTGTGGCATACTGACCTATATCAGTAATACTTAATCATCAGCTACAGAAAAACTTCCTCAGAATTTACTATATATCATTATTCCAGTTGTTTTGGTATATTTCTTTATAACACCTGTATCTAGGTTGCCCTTTTTTGCACTTCTCTAGTTTATAATGTTTCTGTTTATATTATTCATAATTCCTCTGCATTTTAGAAATTTTTCATGAATAATATTCAAGTCATTATTGTCTCTAAACTCATCTAATTTCTTCTATTTAATTATTATTATTTCTGAATCTTTTTAAAACTTATTTATCCTTATTTTATATTTTTATAATATGTTTTAAATTTTATTTTATTTTATAAAAATAAAAACCCTATTTTTAAACTTTCCTCCCTGTCCATCTGACTCATCTTCTTACCCCAAATCTCCTCTCTCTGGAGAGATTTTTGCTTTTGTTTTATGGCAATCCTGTACACCTATGATATACTAAAGACATCTGAGTTTTGTTTGTTTGTTTGGGGAGTATTTTTGTTTTGTTGTGCTTTGCTTTAAGAAATCATTTTACAAGACCCCACAAGGGCTCACAGGGTAGAAAGTAAGAACTGACACCCACAAGTTGCCTTTTGACTTCCACATGTGCACTGTGGCACAGTAATAATAATAGTAAATAATAATAATTTAAAAGTATTATTATGAATATGTGGAAATATTAAAGTTATTATAAAAATAATAATGCAGTAGTTTTTTAAAGAATAGTAAGATTGCAGGAAGACTTCAGTTTGTAAGAATCAAATGCATGTAGAGAGATTGACCTAAGAATCCCACTGAAGGAACTTTTTGCCCCCAAACAACCACTTAAAGAAATATTTTCCTAGACTCAGCTACCAAAGTACATAAAAGCCACCACAGCTGTGGGAGAAAAGGCCAGACAACATCCCAAACTAGAGACAGATATTGTAATCATCCACACAGTCTTGGCTTTTCAGATATTCAACATACAAGAGTTATAGAGATACAAAGGCCTTCACTGAGGTTTCTGAAAGCTGCTGAGGCCAAGCAATGGATAGCAGCATTGCATTTCCTGCAAGGGTGCCCTGAGAGACCATGCTGTAAAGTAAACCCTAGGTTTCAGTGAAGACAACAGATTGTAGTGGGTAGCCATTCCAACCTTGATCTGGAAGTTCCAACCCCCATTGAGGCTTCAGTAACTGTCACGCCTCCAAGGCGGGGCCAAGAGAGGACCCTCAAGACCAGAGATCCAGATACGCCATCTCTCTTGGTTCCTGGACCCTGGACGCTGGAGGTAGACTGAGCAGAGTTCCCCAGAGAACACCGCCAGACTGTGCCACGTCTTTCCCAGACCCTGCAACCTACCTATCCCTTCATTTGTAAGTTACGCTTCTAAATAAACCTCCCTTTTAACTATGTGGAGTAGCCTTAATAAATTCACCAGTATCAGATATTGGAGATATTGAGACTACACAGCATCTTCAAAGAGAAACTGCCAGGATGGAGTGGAGTTGTACTGAGCCAGGTTACTGTTTCATGGCAAGCAGAACTGTAGGACTGGACCTGCCCAAATCTGTTGGAGCCTAGATAGTGTCACCAAGACTCTCAGAGAGAAGATATGGTGCTGCAGGATTTGTTGCTTGACTGATTGGATTCCATCTGACTTTGGCCCACCAGGCTTTCCCTAGGTGTCAGCAGCAACAATCTGGAAATTATACTTTAAAACTCACCTTGAAATTTGATGACATCATGGCAGTAGCAAGGGCTCCTATCACAAATGGAAAGGTTCTGTAGGTAATGCCACCTACTCGCCTCCAGTTTTCTCTTACATGCTACATTCTACACTTACCAAGACTCAGACATCTTCTGAAACTGCTGCTTATTTATCATCTGTACATTACATATGTTGATAATTTATAGTTTAGGGAGTCATGCTTCACTGTAAGTTCATTTTGAAGAACATACAAATATGCAAAATCCATTCTCACGTACATTTTCCCATTCTCTTTGGTGACCACTGCCTTCTTGTAGGTACCCTTGGTAGTAGAAAAACACTTTCAGTGAATGTTTGAGTTTTAGGAATGCCTTAACTTACTGAGTTTTCTCCATAGATACAGATATTATCAAGACATTAAAATTCCTTGGAATGTTTTCAAAGCATTAGCTTTTCCCAAATTATTTAAATATTAACATGGTGAAGAGAAAACTTAGGGAATTTTGCCACTTCCTAAATGATACAGTTTAAATATGTATGAATTCATTCCTGAGTGATTACAAACACCACCAAAAACAAGGTAACTGCAATGTCTTCTATTTATCTGGTAGTTTTAAAAGGTTATTTGGGTTGTGGTTGTTTGTTTTTAAGCTGTCTGCACAGTCCAGGGTGTATAGCCTCTGAGGTTTTGAACCTGTCTTCCTGTCCCCATCTCTTGAATGCTGGCATCAAAGGCATGTTTTATCATTGTCAGTTTTATGTGGCTTTGGAGATCACACCCAAAGCTTCCTGCAGAGTAGGTCTGTAAACTGATGACATGTGTGCTCCATGGTATGGTTAAGGGGAAGGGTTGTTTGTTCGTTTGTTTGTTTTTGTTGTTGTTGTTGTTTTATTATAGATATGAAGGAGAGAACAGCCAGCGGCATCTTGTAGAGTCTAGAGTGGAGAGAGAAAATAGTAGACTGAACACAGCCAGAAGACTAGAACTGGCCATGAAAGAAGGCGCAGAGCAGAGCAGAGAGAGGTGGCAGGAAAGGGGTGAAATCAAGAGATGACGACAAGGAGACTGGGCAAAAGAAAAAGCGAAAGAGAGCACATAGCCGAAATAGAAGGGTTATAAGGAGAATAAGCTGAGGGGAGGGGAGCTCCTGAACTGGAGGAAGTTTAGGGTGAGGGCAGGCAAGAAGAGCTGAGAAGAGCCTAGCTGGGATGCCAGCACAGAGTCTGAAATGTACAACAGGTGCTTGTGGTACTGAGGGAGCATGAGCTTTGGTATGCTAATAGGCATCACAAATAGCCATTTGTTCCTGCTGCCAGTGAAAAGGGAAGTAGTTCCTTTTTGGGAGAGGAGAATTGGCTTCACAAATTTCTGAGGAATGATGGCCAGAATTTGGGGGAAATGGGGTTTCCTTTGGACCTGACAACAGGAACTCACTCCACAGACTGAGAAACATCTGCAGCTTCTGAAAAGTTGTTTGCAAATGAAGAAAATATAAGTTAAAGACACAGTGTCAAAAGTAATACTATGCTTTCCAATTAACTAGCATAGGGGAAAAAAAATCAGATGTTTCAATGACCTAGTTTCTGTTCATAGCGATGTTACTGTCCGAATTCTATTGGTACTCGCTCCCACAAATTGTCTAGAAAATAATATGTTGCAAAGGCTGTGGTGATATCTTATTTGTGCAACCCAATAAAGTTTATCTGAGGATCAGAGGAAAAAGCCAGCCACTATAGTAAACATAGAAGTCCAGCTATGGTAGCACACGCCTTTAATCCTATCATTTAGGAGGCTGGGATCTGTCAGGATCTCTGTGAGTTCAAGGCCACACTGGGAACAGAGTCAGGCAGGAAAAGGAAGTGCTGTAGCTGGACAGAGAGAGCAAATGAGATAGAGGCATGGTTAGAGAGGAAGCAGGTCTCTTTTGGAAGCTGAAGGTCAGTAAGGTGAGGTTGGCTTGTGGCTTTTCCTATTCCTCTGATCTCTCAGGTTTTAACCCTGATATCTGGCTCCAGGTTTTTTTTTTTGTTTTTTTTTTTTGTTTTTTTAATTTAATAAGACCATTTAGTAATTCATCTACAAAAGGCTTAAGGTTTATCTGGAAAGTATTTATGTAAAGTTCTCATATAAGATTTTCTTTCTTCAGTAAAATAAATATGGAAATATGCATCCTAAGCCTGTGTTTTTCAGTAATCTCAGGTCACCTCTGTTGAAATCTTTGTGGGAAAACTTGGGGTTGACAAGAGTACATATGTCCTAAAGTATTTCTAACAATGACTGAATTTTAAAATCTATGATTCTCTAAAAGTATAGCCAGACATACAAGATCTTTTTACCTTTTATTGATTCTTCCCCATGGTCTGTGTGAGAGATGAAGTGGAGTTGATTGGCTTGTCTGTTATTCAGTGGGTTATGGATATTTGTCATTGTCAGGAAAAAAACTGAACAAAGGAAATTAGATTCAGGGATCTTGTTCTGAAAAGAAAAAGGGGGGTATAGAGAAATAGGATAAAAGGGTAGATTATTGAATCTACTTTTAAGCCAAAAAAGCAACTACTAGTCTTAAATATTTTATATTAGTATGGGTTTTTGTGTATTGATACAAATATGGGGTTATTTTTGTTATACTATATTATGCTTCTACTATTGTTTAAGATAGTTTTGTATGTTGATATAAATTTAAGATTATTTTTGTTAGAATGTACTGTACATATGTTTCTACTCTTGTTCGAACAATTGTACTTTTGTAGCTCATTTAACAATGTAATGTAAATTTCTAGTCCTTGAAAGTTATTATTACAAACTATTTAGGATAGTAAAGAAATACAAATTACTAATTAGTCACCTATTACAATCAAATTTGTAGTCATGTTAGGTATGTTTTCAAGGTCAAACTGATATATTTTAGAGAGATAGGTGGTATTCAAACACTTCCAAGATCTACAGAATATGACATTTAAGATGTTTTAGTAACATAAGGCTTTTTTTATGACAATGAAACATGTAATGCAGGAAATCCATAGATTATTGAGAAAAGGATTGTCTATTAATGATTTTATGGGGGAACAACGATAAGACAAATTCAGTTGCAGAGTCCCTGGAAGGCTGAGAATTGGTCCCATGCTGCTTCATGCTGCCTGACTTGGTTTTCACCATCCAAGAGCTTGAGAGTGAAGAGGCCTGCCTATGTGCTCCCCAGATCTTAAGCTATCCAAGAGGCCATGCCCTAGGGGTTGGTACCCCAAGGCCATAGGTGGAATGAATAGAAATTGAAGATATAGAAATGATAGGATAAACAAATGCAGATTGCTGAAAGTTAATTTTGTTATACTATATATATATATATTTCTATTCTTGTTTAAGGTTTATGTTCATGCAGCTCATTTAAAATGTAATGTATAATTAAAAAATATATATATTTATCTATAGTAGTCAAACTTACAGTCATGTTAATTAGGTTTTCTAGATATGCAAGATATATTTCAGATAGGCAATCTTCAAACACTTCAAAGACCTACAGAATATGGCATTTAAAATGTTTTAAGAATATAGACTTTTCTCAACAGTGAGACATGTCTGCTCCTGTCAGCACCAATTTACTTCAAAGAAGATGATGGTCATCAAAGAAACTCCTTATGGAGTTTCACATTCTTTGTGGCAAAAGTTAGCCACTGGGCAAGAAACTGACCTTGCCTCCACTGCTGACGGTATGCTGTCCAAATTGGACAAGCAGGACACAAAAGAAAGTGACTGCCAAACTTTGCCAAGACAAGACGGGACAGTCCTTCACAAATCCTGCTTCACAGAAACGTCTACCAGATATTCTAGGACTGCAGGCTGAAAATGGATGCCCCAGTGCTACAGAGCTGACTGTCCGGGCAGCCAGCTGTTTCTGTCACTTCTTAGTTTTGGAAGTTGTTTGCTCTGCACTTCCTGTTTACTCAAGTAATATTGTATCCTTCTCAGGTCTCTGATGGAGTTGAAGACTAGATAGCTATGCTCTTCCTTGTTACCAGATTCAGAAAAGAAACTGAGAAAAGAGGTGTAAAGCTGAGAGACATAAGATAGTTTTAGGTTGATAATAGTAGTCAGGACAGAAAGTGAATTAGGTACAACACTGTAGAGTCACTAAGATAGGATAGATAATGGAGTATTTTCTTGGAATTTGTTAAATGCAAATGGACTGGACATTGTTAATGTAATTCTTGCCTGTATATATTTGTATATAGTTATTGTGTTTATTGTATATAGTTTTTCTATGTTAGTTAAAACCTTCACTTTTTATTTAGACTAAAAGGGGGAAATGTGTGATATTTTGATTGTGGTTTGACAAATAAAGCTTGCTTGGAGTCAGAGGGTGGAGCTAGCCACTAGATGACCTAAATTGATCATAGAGGTTTGGAGGACTGCAGAGAGAGAGGAGACAGGAAGTAATAGGCAGGGTTGAGAGAGGCATTCAGCCTTTTTGGATGGAGGAACAGTAGAGATCGTAAGTGACCGGCAGCTGCTCCCTGCTTCTCTGATCTTTCAGGTTCTGACCTTACTATTTAACTCTTGATGTTTTTATTGTTAAAAATTAATTAGGTTAATGTTTCACAGAATTTTGCTGAAGCCATCAGATGGGAAAGGAGCTTCCTGAATCT